CTAAACAGAAAACTTCAGCAGGTAGTTCTACTTGCTGACAAAAGATTTATCTTTACAGCATGAGCATAGCTTGTGGGAGGCCATTCTTAATATCTGTGCAGAACTGGTTCCAAACTAAATACAAAATCTAGAACAAGCCTGTTATTTAAAAATGTCAAGTAAATAAAATTATGCAATTTGAAACCTAGAAACCTGAAGAACCAATATGATTGTCAAGCTATAGCCATGCTATAAAGTCACAGCACTAATGGGTGTGGTTTTGCATAATAGTTGAAACTTGCTGATTCAAGCTTTAAAAAAAAATAGGACACCTGGGTTGGCTGACACAAGTTTAAACAAAACTTTTAAATAACTGCACAAAAAAAAAAATAAAAAAAATAAAAGTCAAATGGTAAAAAAAAAAAAAAAAAAAAAACATTATCTTATCATTTACTGCTAATAGAATGGAAATAAAAATGAAAAATTATTACTGGTTTAACAACAAAAGTCACAACAAAACATAAAGTGTTAAACGGACAATAAGTCACTCTGTTTGTTGTAAATTGCTGCTGTGCAGTTTTGATCATTACCTTTAAATGCTGACTTCTATTGGTAGAGTATATATCTATGTCTATATAAACAATATTTGCAGTTACTACCATACTGTTTTCCACCAATTTCTACATGTCTTGTACATTCTTCAATGCCTGTAGCTATGGATTATGGGGTTGATTGGCACAGCTCAGCACAAAGCAAAGAAACATATTTAATAACCAACCACAACAACAACTTTATATCTTTGCTAATATACATTAGGAACTTTGAAAAAACATTTGTTGATTATAGATTTTTTTTTAAAGTTATTAATATGGTTACTTTATGAAACACATTTAATTTAATCTATATTGAAAATATTTTAATTTCGTCTAATTTCAGACATAATAGTTGTCAATGAACAACAACCTGCCCCTGCATTGAGAATGCATGCAGTTATCAGATCCAAAACCTGTCTGGGATTTGTAGTGTCTCCTTGACCTCAGGTGCTTTAGTAACTCCAGATAACCTTGGGCTGATCACATGTCTTCAACAGTGGCAGTGACTCATTTAAATGTCTACCCTATAAACTTTAAATGGTACTTTATGTGCCTAACATGGTGACCATATGTAACGTGGAATCATGGTTTAATTCCAGAGAGGGATCCTGAAAAATGGCTACTATATCCAAGGAACACAACATGTGCACAAATTACCCATTCCCAACTTGAGGAGAAAGTGATAAAAAAAATAACAAGTTTGGTTAAATCGTAATTAAATAGATGTTCAGAAGTTGCAAAGATGCAAACTTAAAAAGATTTAAAAATGAAACCTGTGCCAATCAACCCCTGTGTCAGCCAACCCAGTCTCCAGTGCCTCCCCTCCCCTAGGGAGCCGCCTCATCTTATGCCTCCCTACCCAGTGGCAGGCGGAATCTTCACACACATGTACTCGCACTGTGAAATGAGTATTGCCTGATGAAAACTATAATAAGTTTGCACAACACTGACACTTATGCCTTCCATATCTTTCATATAAACATGATCTATTAATGTTCCCTTTTCTGTGGTTGGCTTTTGTACATGTTGATTGTATCCATGTTGTTCCATTAATTTCAAAACTGTAGATGAAGTAACAATGTCTTCGTTAAAGTCTCCCATTATTATTTTCTGTCCTGGATGCTTTTCTATCTCTTCAATTACATGTAATAGCTGATGTCTAAACATGTCAGTTTTATATGAATTGGGCCTATACAAAAGTGCAGCAGTCAAATTGACATGTGGAACTATAAAATATAAACATTCTAAGTTCCAGTGCTCAGGAGTTAAAATATTACACTCAGTTTTCTCAGAACAATACATTCCAACTCCACCACCTCTGTGATGTTTTAATTCAGTAAAAAGAGCTGTACTGTTGTCGTAACACTTAGCTCTAGGGTTGTGCTTGAACACAAATTCTGGTATTTGTGGTTCTTGTGCTTTGTCATCAGCATTTAGCCATGTTTCTGTCAAACAAATACAATCAGCATTCATCAGAACTGTATGCGCAAGAACATCCTGAAAGTGAGCTTTCAGACTTTGTACATTAAGCAGTGCTATTTTGAATCTACCAAGTGACTCAGTGGAACTGTTGTTTTCCAAAGGAAATTTTGACATATCTTTCATAGCCAACTCAATTTTGTCATTACAAAATATGGGAGACTCTTTAAAGTCCTCAATTATTAATCCACTAAGAGATCTTACTCGGCTCAATGCAACATATGCTTGCCCTGCTGTAAAGATTTTCTTAAGTGATACAACTGCTTTATCTACTGTAAGTCCTTGCACTTTGTGAACTGTACATGCCCATGCCAATCTGAGAGGAAACTGACGCCTTATACCACCACCATTTGTCACTTGGTCTTCTTGTACTTCAATTACTGTTGAATTTTGGGAAAATCTCTGGGGTCTTTTAGATCTCTGAATTTTACCGACATTTGCATTGTCAAACTCCACATGTATAGCTGATGGGAAATCATCATCATTGCTTTGACTTTCACTTATGTGGACAACTGAACCAAAACGCTCCATTGACCAGACCGTCAGCAACATCAATATTTTTTTTTAGCATAACCCTTGCTCCAATACCCAGGGAAACAGATTTAGACAAAGATGAGTTGAAAACTTTTGCATGAAATCCAACTTTACGTTCCATGCGTCCAGTTTTTTAATTTTTGACATAATCTTGAGCATTTATACTGATTGCCTCTGGTCCAATGAACTACAACTCATGTAGTCTTTCAATGTTATATTTATCAACTTCAGCATTTGTAGCAAATATGTGAATATCATTACACTTCTCCCGTTTCACATTTTTTCAACATAGCAATGTCATTAGTGGTAAGACATTCCTTTTTCTTACGTACTCTCAGACGATTTAACATTTCAGCAAAACTTGGATCTTGTTGTCGAACAACTTTAGTTAATTCAGCAAGTTCAAAGTTATTCTCCCATAGGTTCACTCCTTTTGTATCAGCATAGAGAGCAGTTCCTTTTACGGGAGGAAGTTGATAGAAATCCCCAACACAAAGAATACTGACTTTTCCAAAAGACAGAGTAGTCACCAGTTTGTTTTATTTGTCGCAGCCTTCCATGAATGTATGACAAAAGACGATGGTCATCCATAGACACTTCATCAATAATCAAAATTTGCAAAGTACCCAATTTTGTGCATAACGAGTTTATTTTATCATCGCCAAGAGGCTGATATGGCAGTCTGACATTTGCACCAATTTTAAGTTTATTATGTATAGTTCCCCCTCCAATGCCAAAGCTAGCGACTCCAGTTGAAGCTGTCAAAAGTACAGTAATGTCATCAGGATTCTCAGAAAGCTGTGATAACAGTCTGCAAGATTCATATTGTATTGCTTTAATTAGATGACTTTTCCCTGTACCTGCTCCACCAGTAAGAAATAATCGAAATGGTTCAGGGTTTTGTCCAAGTACTTTCTGTAGACAGCACTTTCGCACTTTGTAGAACACAGCAGATTGTTCATCGTTTAATGACCTTAGTAAATGCAATGCCTCGTCTCTAGGCATTGTAGTGTGGTTCGTTTCAATGGTACACACAGTTTGAGGGTTTGCTGTAAGATCTGGAATAAGTTCTTGACTGCCATCTTCATCAACCAATAGTTTATCCTTCATCAGTTCTATGCACTCATCATGCTGTTTTTCGGTTTCAGGACATATCTGGGCCCATACATCTTCTAAATCAATATCCTGCGCCAAAAGCGGTTTAGCTTGTTCTATTTTATCACTTTCCTTTTCAAAAAAAGCTCTGTTGCCATCAACAATTGATTTGACTTGTTTCACTTCACAACCAATTTTTATGACACCACTGTTGTAGAACTCCTCATATGTGTCATACTTGCGAGGCTTCAGATCAGAGTCATCATAATGTGGTAAGAAAAGTTGCAACAATGAATGATAATATTTTTCTGGATCTTTTGTGGGGGAAAACCTTGGATACCTCACTACTGCAGGTTCAGTCCGTGTCCTCCGTTTTACATGACCATTGTTGTTATTGAGTGTAATTATTTCATTTTCTGCAGTTTGGTTTTGTGAGGAAATCTGTGATTTTGCCAGAACTCTGTACTCAGAACAAAAACTGGCAAGACATAGAATTTCTAGAGGTTCTTTCTCTGGTCTGTTCTTGTACCTGTCAATGACACTTGTCATCCAAAAATTGCTTTCAACTGGTCATTTTCCACTTTGTTTTGGAGCATATGCAAAGGCAAACTCATCTTTACAGGATTTTGTCCTATTAAAATAAATTGTACTTTACGGGAACATTCCTTCAAATGAATGCCTGTCAGCCTGTACACTGCCTCTTGAGCAGAAATTTCTCTGTTGTGCAGATAGATACTTTCCAGCTGTTTTAATGATGCTTTAGCTTCAAGATTTCCATTCATTGCTTCATTTTGTGCACGCTGAAGCAGAAGTCCCATTTCTTGTTCTGCTTTTGTAATGTAACTAACTATGTAGACCACTACAGAAAAAGCATCTGTAACATACTGAATATCCATATTCCCTTGCCAAGCATGCAGTAAATCTCTGTTATACTGATTTACCCAAACATCTTTTGGATTTCTTTTCAAGACAATACTTTTCTTTTTGGAACATTCATTGTATGCTTTTTCAAACATAGTTTGATTAATCCCAATAGATGAAAAAAGGCATCAACCGAATCAAAATTCACATCAGAATTTAAAGCAGTTTTCACTTTCTTTATAATTGCACTTGCTGTGGTATCTTCGTCCTTGCCTTTCAACTCATCTGCATTGCTTTGTCTTGTAATGAAGGTCCATTCTAATGTGATGCATACCTTCAACATCTATAAGCCAGTCCCTCCAGAAGCAAATGGTCTGGTTTTCCTGTTGCTGTCTGTTGCTTCCCACTGGTGAGAAACATACTTCAAACAAAGACGACAAATCTTTGGCCTGAAGTGGCTTTTCAAGGTTAGTTAAAAGGTCTTCAAAAACATGAGGTTGACTCTTGATTTCCCCAAGCGGACCCAGGGTTTGTAACCCATCCTCAAACCTATAAAAAAATAAAATAAAAAAAATAACGTGGACGCGGTAACTTTACTAAAAAAAAAAAAGCAAAGTAATGCTCTTGGAAGAGAGGGGAGTAATTGTAATATAATTATTTTATATAAATAATTCCATATAGCAGTGGTTCCCAACCCTGGTAGTCTACCCACAGCCAGTGGCGGCTCGTCAGGGGAGGCATAATTTTGAGGGGAAAATGGGAGGAGGACGATTTAATGTTAATAAAATTCACAATTCATTTCCGTTCATGTCTCAGAATGTGTATATTTTGTTTGTAATTTCACAGTTGTAATACCATAACGTGAAATCGCCACTTTTCTATCGCGAATGTGCCGAATCGGCTGATGTAATTCAACCGCTAATGATAGAGAAGAGGAGGGGGAGGCTGGGGGAGAACTGAGCTCTCGTGCCTCCGTTGGTAAAAAAAATTAGCCAATCAGCATCGAGTGTTCACTTTCAGCGCTGAGGAGTGTTGAGAAAAGAAACCTCGCAAGGGAGGCTAGCCTCCCCTCTGGTATATCAACCAATCATTAGAGACGTAAATTACTTGATATTAGTTTGAACGTCTCCCGCTGCACTGATAATATACCAAGTTACTTATGAGTAGCGATATTGAATATTTGATCGCCAACAGATTTACCAAGCTGTCATTCAAACAGTATATATACAAATTCAGGGAAAACAGCCTAAGCTGGATATAGGCTACAGCAGTCGGCTTAATTAAACGGCGCAACAGCAGCTCTCTTTTAACACAGACTTTTAAGAAGGGATGGATGTTTGCTTCAAGTGATAGACCAGGTAAGTGAAATTATATTATCTTGCTGTATGTGTGTCGTTTTCTTTACGTTTTCTGACTAAAAGCAACCAAAAAGCCATTTTAAAGTGGTTAAGCAAATAATAATAATAATAATAATCGGCAGGGATCCCAGACCAGTACAATTAGTGTGCCTCCTCTATTTTAAAACCCACGAGCCGCCACTGCCCACAGCACTGGACATTTTAGATGTCTCCCTAATTAAATGCCTGATTCAACTGGGCTTGGCGAGTGTTCATGTAAACGTGGTCGGTTATGAATTGAAGGGATCCTATAATGTATATATACACCTTTTAATTTTTTCAGCTTTAGTTGGTGCGTAATGTTGCTGTTTGAGCATATAAACGGCCTGTAAGGTAAAAAGCTCAAAGTCCACTCCAAAAGGAAGATATTCTCTTTAAGGGAAAACACTTCAAGAACTACAACAAACAACTTGACACTACAACACACTTTTTCCGGATCTTCCGAATCAAAGTCCCAATATCAATCATTACCCCTTTAAGCCCTGAAGGCATTTCTAGAGTTGTTTTTTTAAGTGATATACACAAAATAAAGACCCATAACTCCAAAACTATAGCAAGAATAGTCAAAAGGTAGGTAGCATTTAAAACAAACCTTTAAAAAAAGTGTATATATATATCTATATCTCTCTCTCTCATTTTATCTCATGACATTTCTCTATCACATGACATTCTCATGCTGAGAAATGACATTTTACGCATCTTTCTTATTTGACATGCAATAACTCAGGAAATAACAGGGCTCTAGATCATGACCATTTTTTGAGAATGTGCTTGTTTACATGTCATCAGAATTATTGCACTTTCACCTAGTAGCACAAATAAAGAGACTGCCAATCCATGGGCATGATTTATTTGACCTCATCTAGTTTCCTGGTTTATTATAGGCTATTTATCATATAGGCCTACTGCTAAAATAAGAAAATAAGATACAAATAAGAAAAACGTAAAATAAGAAACTTCTCAAATTAAAAGTGAAATCCAATAAATCCAAATTACTTTAATGTAAACAAGCAAAACAAACTTGGTATTGTTTATAATATAGCTAATATTGGTCCACCACTACTTACAAGATTTTCAAAATGTGAGAGACCACAAACATGACGATAAGAAATCATAGATTTAACGGTTTTGTTCCTCTAGTGCTGAGGTCTTCAATCCTACTTCTGGAGGGCCACTGTGCTGCATTGTTTAGTTCCAACCTGCTTCAGAATCAGCACACATGCAGTTGTATTTTCAAACGATCCTGAAGAGCTTGATGAGCTGATTCAAGTGTGTTTGATTAGAGTTGGAACTAAACTCTGCAGCACAGTGGCCCTCCAGGAGCAGGATTGAAGATATCTGCAGTAGTGCATGATGTGATCAGGAAAGCAAACCACATACTAATGGATTCCATTCACAGAAAAGCAGAGTCCGGCCTGTGAACATGGGAAATCAGCTCACTTTCTGATTTGGTATTGTTTAGTTTCAAGTGATAACTTCCAGAGGTGGGGTTCCACCCACACAACAGGATTTCTGATCGCAAATATTCAATGTCGAGGGGCAATCACTTATTGTGCCAATGCAGCACGAATACGTCCATCGGTGTAGAAACCCAAGGCTGACTGGACCAAGCAATCTCTTTCTTGCAACGATTTGACAATTCGAAGGGCTCCCATTATGCTCAGGCTGTCCTCCACCTCACTTATGGCATTGTTTGCCAGTTCTACGGTCTCTGCCTCCTTTATCTAAAACAAACAGTCACTAAGGTTATGTTCAGACTGTCATTCCAAATCCAACGTGTGCGCATATTCGATTGAAATCTAATCATATTTAGCTAGTGTGAATGGACAAAAATCACATGAAATGCAATTTTTACAAATCAGTTTCGCGCTACATCCATATGTGGTTTGGAAATCGATTTCAGTCTGACTGCTCTGATCCGATTTCGTGTGGTTTATGTAACTTTCTCACGCTACATAAAACAAATGTCAGATGTTGTTACAGGAAACATGCTGAAAGTCACTGCAGAAACAAGGCAGTATGGTTGCAAAGTGCTGGACGAGCAGAAAATATTATGGAGAAAAGTTTTGAAACCAGCAGAGACAACAGCATGGAAAAAAGCAGTGCATACCAGCCTCCTACATTTCTGCCGCTGCCTCAGAAGATGCATGCCCTGTCCAAATACCCACACTTGTGGTCTTTGCACTTGACCACTTGTCTTCTTACATGACGTATTTCCTGTATTTGGCTCAATTGTTCAAGTGGGCGTGAAGACTGCAAGTGTTTGTAGAATTCGTGTTTACCCGATTGGACACACTTATAGTCTTGCAAAAAATGCAAGCATTTACAGAACCTTTAAAAAATATATATTTAATACTTTGCATTTTAAAATACACTTCTAAATGTCTGTTCAGTGGTTGCTATGTAACTAACAGAAGACAATTTAAAAATTGATAAAAGCAGTTGCAAATGAACAAAATACACATACTCTACCCATATTTGCATCAATAAAATGTGCAACACTTTATATTTTACAACCAAATTAAATGTATTATATAATTAATTTAACGTACAGTTGAATGTTTACCTTGATATCTCGCGATTTCAGGGCATGCGAGTTCCTGAACATAATGCATGATGGGATACACTTTGCCTCGAATACCACTGCGAAGCAGTATTTAAGATAGTGTGGGTTTAGTGTGCATTAAGGGCACTGCACTTGGGCATTTTTAAGACATGGGACAGTCTTGCGCACTTACTTCCCATCGCGTACACAAGCTCTCAAGTGGCCAAGACCGCAAGTGTGGGTATTTAGACAGGGCAGTAGTTCAGTGGGGCAGCTACACATTTTCATTTTGTAAAGTTTTAATTAGACAACATCTCAATCGCAAACTCCTCCATGTTGTGGTTTTTGGCATATGCCTACACAAAAGCCTCGTTCCGTCTGTCAGTCCAAATCTGATTGTGTATCCGATTGGAATCTGATCTAAAATTATTAATGTCCACACTGTGCATCGCAACTGTTCAGATTCTATTTGTGTGTCCATGGCACTTTTTCGTTTTTCTGGAATACCTGCATTGGTTTCTATGGCAATGATGTCACGTTGGTAGGTATACGCCAAAAACAACAACAAACGCAACATGGAGGGGTTTGCAATACAGATGTTGTCTTAATTACATCATGACAATGTGTAGCCCCCAGCTCTGGACTGCTGCGTTATGATGAGGCAACAGCAGAAACATAGGAGGCTGGTATGAGTGGCTTTATTCAGTTCTGTCATCTCCGCTGGTCTCAAAACATGTCTCAGTTATAGCCTATTGCTACTTTCTGCTCGCCCGGGACTTTGCAACAACACAGCCTTGTTTCTGCAGCGACTTTCAGCATGTTTCCTATAACAATGTCTGACGTTCATGTTTTACGTTGCGAGAGAAAGTCACATAAACCACATGAAATCTGATCAGAGCAGTCGGACTGAAACAGATTTCCAGAAATGCAATGGGATTCCAAACCACATATGTAGCTCGAAACGGATTTGTAAAAATCAAATTTCATGTTATTTTTTTGCATGGACACACAAATCGAATGGACTGACTGTGAATGTAACCTAAAACCTACCCGGTCTCATGGCAAATACGTACCCGGGGGCACATTTTTGCAAGACGCGAAATACGTACCAATAAGTACATATCACTGCAGTTTCCAAAAAAAATGAACACTAGAGGCAGTAAAACTCTGACACCTTTTAAATTATTTTCACACAGAGTATGATTTACAGAGTTTCGATTAATAAAGCGTAATTTTCACACAATTACTTGAAGAGTATTATGTTGTGACTTTAAGACATTTTTAATATGCTGGGAGATTTGAAAACTGATGCCTTTGATTGTTAGCACCACACATATCCAGCTTCATATCAATGGGTTTTCAGACGATAGGTTTGCACGGTAGCTCACAGAGACGTAATTGAGAGTTAAGGAGCTCCGGTTCGAATCCCGTGTAACTACGGTTCAACAAAACGGTTCAAATCTGCATATGAGGAAGTTAAAATGGCACGGTTGCATCAAAAAAATTTGTTTTTATATCAGTTTTGCATTTGTTAACAGTATCGGGTAGGTTTAGGGTTGGGTTTGGTGTAGGGCATATTTCCAACACGACAGAGCATTAACTATTAG